TGCAAGCTAAAAATGGACAGGGCTGCATGACAGCCATATTCATGGGTGACTCAAAGACAGTTGGAAAGAAAACATTGTCCCAATGGGCAGAGCTTTGAGCAGTGCACCTGAAATTGCCTGAGGTGACAATACATGCAGATGACTGGACAGTGGCCTGGAAGGAAGAGGACAGGATGACTGGGACAAGGAGTTCTGGGGGAGAGGCATGTAGTGGGCAATGGGAGTGGGCACACAGTGTGATGTTTGTATCACGTCCCAATGCGCAAAAAGTATCCATCCACCCACCGTGGAAGGGGTGAGGAATAACTAACATAGACAAAGCGACTTGGCTGGTTGACATTCACTGGCTTTGTCCTCAGCCACCCAGACAGGCCCATAATGAGAGTGGAAATGGCAGCAAAGACAGAGGCTACAGATGAGTCCAGCACTCCCACTTACCGAGGCCCAATTCACTGCTGCTTCCTTTGATGGTGCAGTTGCCCACAACAGACACCAACTGAGCCCCTGGCTTGGCACTGTTCCTCGGGGAGACCAGCAGGCCTTGTAGCAGTGAGTTGACTCTGTTGGCCCTTCTCATCTCGGAAGGGCTGGCGGTTTGTCCTCACGAGGTAGACACCTGCTCTGGGTGTGGGACTGCCTCTCCTACCTGCAGAGCCTTAACTCTCTACGCAGCTATAGAAAGCTCATCTTGTCTGCGGGATGGGACCTGAGCTACATGGAGCAAGGGTGAAGACCAGGAGACCGCTTATAGGACTCTTGCAATAGCCCAGTTGATAAGAGTTGATAAGAAATGATAGTTGGATGGCAGTAGAGATGGTGAAATGACAGGATTCCAGTTTAAATGAATAACGAAAAGATAAACAATGTACTAAGATAAAAGCTAACGTTCTTCTAAGGACTCGCATGCCCACCTTTCCACATTTTAATGGACAATATGTTCTCCCTGATTATCCTCTGACTCAATGAATCCTTTGATAAAATTGCAAACAATGTTTCAGGGTTCCATAGACACAAAGAAAGCCGGGCAAATCTCTAGTGGCTATGTGCCCAGAAAGGGTGTTCCTTTTGGCAAAACGAACCAGAGCAATTTCCAAAGTAGTATTTATTCTTTTTTAAATTATGCACACAACAAATGTCTGGGTGAGCCGACTCCTCTAACCCATGTACTAATGTGTCAGTAGGCTTATAATTTGGAGCACTCACTCAGGAAATTCTGAAATTAAAGTTCTTTCAGAAGTGTTGACTCATCCCCTCGGCACTTTCTGAATATATCCATTTAACACACCAATTAGTAATTCTAAATTGCATTCTAAATTCTGCAGGTGATTTTCTGATGAAATGTTGCTTTGCTAATTCTAGTGGGTGTTGTTTAGAATTTGCTTTTGCGTTGAAAATAGCTTTGATTTCACTTTTGATAAAAATGGAAACTATTGGAAAAGGTCCGTCCAACTGGATATGCCACTGTGATCTCAGCATGGTCTGCTGGTCTATGAGGTTTACATTCAAATATGGTATTCATGTGTGTATTTTTCACATTTATAGAAAGAAAGTGCTTGGTATAGGATAGTTTAAGGAAAAATCATTGCTTTTAACTATGTACAATCCCCAGGAAATATGTATATGTGTTCTATATAGTACACAGGGCATACTGTACAACATAAATGTATTTATTTCACC